CGTTTATTTTTCGTTAAATGAGGTAAATTTCTATTTTTTAGACTTCCCTTTTCCTAATGGGTACTTTATTTTCTTTTCTTATCTGTAGAAGGAACTTTGTCATAATCCAGATTTGATCAAGAAATGAAAAAGAATGATAATGAAAAAATCTAATGATGCTAAAGAGTAAAAAGTGCAACTTGACTTTTTGTCTTCATTGGAAGTGGTTTCTTGAGAAATCTAACAGCAGAGTTTCTTGAGGTACTATGTTGAAAAACCAGTTGCTTTGGTCATTATTTTCTTAGGTGGGTAGGGGAGCCCTTCAATCATTTTACATCAGTTAAATTGCCATTTTTTCATTGTTACTCAAGTGCTTGATCACATTCAATGAAGACGGTGAACTTGATGCTATTAGTAGTTTCAAGCAAGTTGATGATGCTCCTGTTTCGTACTGTGAGAGGGATATGGAATTTCTCATTGATTTATTGAGTCAACTGCCAACAAGGAAGTATTGTCGCCTGCATTAGGGTCTTATATTTTTTAGTTTTAACAAATTCATTTTTCTTTCGTTGCTATTGCTTTTTTCATTTGCTTTTTTTTTTGGAAAAAAGAGAGTGGGGGTTGGTTTTAACAAATGTCTTTGCGAAAAAAAATTACAGAATGATTAGTTCATTTACCACTACTAGTGGTGTTTTTGATGACATGGTTAATTGAGCATGTAACTGTTTATCTAAGTTATATGTGAATATTGATGATGTGGCTGCAAAAATGTTGCAGACATAGCCACTAAAATATAAGAAGCATGAATATTTCTCAACTTTATACTTTAAAATGTTGTTACCCCATTTAAAATATAGTACTACAAGCTTGACTATTTTTTTTTTAATATTGTTTTTATTATTATTTGTTTGTTTGCAAGAAAAAAAAAGGGGGATGAAAAACAATATTACACTTGATAAACAAAAAGAAATAGTGACTTAAAATGAGATAAAGATTTTAATATGATTATTTTATATAAAATTTATTATATTACATTTTATTCTAAAAGCTATATAATCTTAATTATTAAAACATATTAAGTAGAGTTTACATTTGTCACCATGATGACTCACAAATTTTATCTCTAAATAAAAAATTGAAAGTATAGCTATCAATTGATTCAAAAACCATTAGATGATAGAATCTAAAACAATATATTAAAGTTATCTCAAATGTGAAATTCCTTAATTTCAAGGACACGTAATGTAAGACATAAAAATTAATTAAAAAATTAATTAAGGCATGAAAAATTTTGGTTGGGTGATTTGAAGAAAATTTTTTTTGTATTTTTTTCTTTGTTTTGGACATATGAAAATCAGTTCTTTTATTTAGGTATTTTATTTTTATTTTTTTATTTATTGATTTGCTTATTGATTTGTTTATTTTTTATTTTCATAGATAATTAAAATTTTATATTAAAAATCTGTTTTAATCATTTGACAACATAGAAAAACTAAAAATATGTGTTAGACAAATAGATTTGTAATTTTTATAATTCTATTTAGTTATTTGTGTCATGTAAATTTTAAAAAATAGGAAATAAATTAATAATTTTCCAGTGCTAAAATTATATATATATATATATATATATATATATATTAAAGTTATCTCAAATGTGAGATTCCTCAAATTCAAAAACATTTAAGGTAAGACATAAAAAATAATTAAAAGGTTAATTAAAGCATGAAAAATTTTGGTTGGGGTGATTTGGAGAAAGAATCTTTTGTATTTTTTCTTTGTGTTTGATGCATGACAATCAAATTTTTTTATTTTGGTATTTTTATTTTTTTTTATTTTTTTATCGATTGATTTGCTTATTGATTTTTTTTATCTACTTACATATTTAAAATTTTATATTAAGAATATGTTTTAATCATTTAACAACTTAAAAAAAATCAACAATATGTGTTAGACAAATAAATTTGTAAATTTTTTATAATTATATTTATTTATTTGTATCATGTGAATTTAAAAAAATGGAAATAAATGAATAATTTTCCAATGATGAAATTAAAATAAAATTGCAAGTGGTGCTTGAAATTTCTAAATGAGGATTTTTCTTAGAATCTTACCAAGAGTGTTTGAAAGATTTTGGAAGTATTATAAAAAAATATATTTTTTTATTTTTAATGAAATAGTTAGTAAAACAAAAATTGGTAAAATAAAAATAAAATTTTTTTATAAAATTTTAAATTAATCTAATACTAGATCATCTCCAAGAAAATGAATAGCTTAAATACTCTTGAGCTGAGAGAATTTTCTCAGAATTTTACAAATGATTGGAGAAAATCTAAAAATTTTGTAATGTATTAAATAATGAAATTTAATTAAAATTAAAAGATGATTTACCTAAAAATTACTTGATACTATTTTTTTATGAACATTGTGAGAGTAATCATACTTTCTTCACATGTAAATTGATCAATAATATACAATAAAAGTTGTCTTAAGGGAACTCAAATTTTTAATTTGTCTAATAGTTATTGATTGATAAAAAAAAGTTTAATAAATTATTAGGTTTGACAGGTTCTAGTTTGTTGGATTTTAAATGGATTAAGACATGGAGAATTGAGCTTTAGTCGGATTTAAAAAGGGTATGTGATGTTTGCATTATGTTAGATTATAATTGCATTTTTTTTTTTATAAGTTTTGAGTTTCATTTATTATCAACAATAAAATAAAATAATAAAAATATAACAATAATGATAAAAATAAATATAAAAGATATAAAAATAAAAAATAAAATTAAGTTACTTTTTTTTGTTTCTTTTGTTTTAAATATTCTATAAAAAAATTTATAATCTAAAGAAATAAAACTCATATTTTGAACAAATAATTAAAAAATACAATACTAATAACATAACATGAAAAAATAGGAAAAAATAAGAGTAATTTATGAAATATTGTTTATAGTTTTAATTTTAATATTTATTTAATATAATATTTATTTTATTTTTTATTTTTTTATATTAAAATAATTAGTCCATCCCAAGTGAAAAACTAATTCTAGTATCAAATAATAAAAAAAAACCCTTGAAAGGTTTGAAAGCAAGATCTAACTCAGACTATTTCAAACCACGCATAAGATGTTTTAATTACTACAATATCCTTATATATTAATTAATTTATTTATGTACTGACTTTAGACTTCGAGATGCAGCTTGGTTCATTGTTTATTAAAAAGTTTTACGGAATTTAGGAATTAACACGATTAGTTAATATAATTATTTTTAAGAAGTGAGATTTAATAATTTTATGATTTAAATTAATTAAATTTCAATGCTTTTAATTTTTTTGTCTTTAAATTTTGTTTTTCTTTTTGTAAAAATAACTTACAGTGAAATTATGTAAGTTTTTTTTGGATGAATAGATTGTTCAAAATTAAAGGTTGCTTAATTCAATTATTAGGAAAAAATTTTGATCAAACCAAAAGGTGAAGCTGTATTATTGATCCTTATAATTAAAAAATCATCACAATCAAATGATGTGTTAACAAATTTAATAGCATAATCTTAATTTCATTTGTGATTGAACTATATTTAATCATTTATAAAATATCAAGAGCTCAATTTTGACAAAAAAATATAGAGATTAAAATTATGCCATTTCTAGTCAGCACGAAAAATTAATAGAGGAATTTGACCATATCAAAACTAATCAAAGAAAATGAAAAAGATAGAAGTTTTTTTTTTTTCATTTTTTTAAAGAAATTCGTAATAAAATATCACTGTAAAAAGAATGTCCATACAAAATTAAAGTTAGATTATTTCCGGTTAATCAGAGGATACAAACGTAAGATTGCATTGCATTGGCTTGTTATTAGTATTTTTAAGCATCAAATATAGTAGTAAAGTATATGAGTGGGAATCATGTCAAGTTTCGTGATACGGTGAGATTGAAAAGGTCATTCCATCAGTTTCAGGCTCAGGTATATATGACTTGGCGCGCTGACAATTGTGTTAATTTACTATATCAGTATTAACTAATATTAGTATAAACAATTGCATCAACTTTTTCTTATTCAATGCATATATTAGCACGTATGCTACTATTTTGAGTAAAGAACCCTGAACCCTATTCTCATCAACCAACAAGTACAAAGTATATTATTTAACAACGAAACTTGAATATGAAAAGAGATGCCTATAATTGTTACATTATAATTTATAATTTATAATTATGTAAAATTTATTAAAATTTTATATAAAATTTATACTTATAAATAATATATCTTTACATAATTTTTATTATAATTGAATTATTGTAAAATTATAATAAAAAATTATAAATAAAATAATCTTATCAAAGGGACAGAAATAAGCGGCTATCATTCCAGTTAGGAGGACAAGAATTATTTAGTTGATGTAATGGGTCCATTGCTTATTACCCCAACTAGCATTATATCATAAAAAATCTAATTAGTCATAAACTGAAAAAAGGGGAAAAAAGAAAAAGAAAAAGGAGAATTATTCTTGATCAAAGAGGTAGCTAGCACTTACTAGTTAGCACGCAATTTTCTTTCATGCCCTGAAACTTAGGAGTAACATCCACGAAATTGAAAAGAATCAAGCTTAGTAATAGATATAGTAATAGTAATAAAGGTACAATAGGGATGGAACAGCTCCCACTAAAAAATATTGGGATTTCATCCCCCCAATAATATTTTGATATTACTGACAAAACTAACAACTAAAAGTTAACGATCTACGATAGTTGTCCTTTATAATGTTAGTATTTCAAGAAATCTTATGGAACATTCATATATATATATATATATAAATTACTACTTTAAAATTGGAAAGTGGTCCCACAAATACAATCCTGATCTTGATCAATGCATTGTTTTTCTAACCCTTTTTTTAATGTTAAGAAGAAAAAATATAGTGTTGGTATATTTTTTATCAATGAAAATAAAACATTAACAATTTGTAAATCAATTTAACATTGATTACCATTTATTGAAACAAAGAAATATTGTAATTAATTGATGTCAATATTGTTTCATATTAATGACTTTGCAGTACCGTTGACCCAGAACTTCGAAAAAAATGCATACTAAGTAGAACTAATAAATTACCCTACCTCCAAAGTCCAAAGCCCAAACTCCGAAAGCAAATCTACCAGAGCAGAGCCAAAACAAAAACAAGAACCCAGCCAGCCTAATCTTTCCAAGAGGAAGTGGTGCAGCCTTCCCAGCTTTCTCTGCCTCAGCTTCAGCTTCCCCAGCTCGCACACTCTTTCCTCCCCTAACAAACCATCCTCACAGAAATAACACAAAATTTAGCTTTCTTCTTTTAATTATGGGAGGAAATGGAAAGCACAGATGGATATTTTCATTTTATCATCGTTTGAGTTCATCTCCTAAGCATAATATGACCCAACCTCCACCCGAATTCCTCTGCCCAATTTCTGGGTCTTTAATGTTCGACCCGGTTGTAATCCCTTCGGGTCAATCCTTCGACAGAATCTCCATCCAAGTCTGCCGCGACCTCGGCTTCACCCCAACTTTTCCCGATGGTTCAACCCCCGATTTCTCCAATCTCATCCCGAACCTCGCCGTTAAAACCACCATCCACACCTGGTGCCGCGACCACCACGCCCAAGACCCCGCCCCACTGGATTACACCTCCGTCGAGGAAATCGTCCGTTCCAAGATTCAACAGCAAAGTCCATCCAGACTTTCATCGGGTACGGATATTCGGGTCTCGGAGCGAGAACTTCTGAACGCCGTTGCTGAAAACCCGCCCGTTTTATTCTCCCACGCGGCCACCGAAATAGGTCCACATATCAACAACTTATTCTGCTCAACCTCGTCGTCTTCCGTTGAATGCGATATCATAACCGCCAGTCCCCGCATGCCGTTACCACTCGCCACCCTTCCCGCGTGTTTCTCAACTTCCGGTTCTTCATCTTCTTCCATTGAAATCATCGAATCTGAAACCCTAAACCCTAATTGCCAATCTTCCTCTTCGCTGGAGGAACAAGAGCTTTTCTTAAAGCTTGAAAGTTCCAATATTTTGGAACAAGAAACAGGTTTGATTTCGTTAAGAAAAATCACGAGGACTAAAGAAGAATCTAGGGTTTCTCTTTGTTCTCCTCGGCTACTCTCAACCCTTCGATCTTTGATCATTTCCAGATACAGCGTTGTTCAAACCAACGCAATCGCTTCTCTTGTTAATCTTTCATTGGAGAAATCGAACAAGGTCGTGATTGTACGCTCTGGATTTGTTCCTCTTTTGATCGATGCATTGAAGGAGAGATTTAGTGAGGCGCAGGAGCATGCTGCTGGTGCGCTCTTCAGTTTGGCTTTAGAAGACGAAAATAAGATGGCGATTGGGGTTTTAGGCGCGTTGCAACCGTTGCTTCATGCGCTGAGATCGGACTCCGAACGTACTCAGCACGATTCCGCACTCGCTCTTTACCATCTTTCTTTGATTCAGTCAAACCGAGTTAAATTAGTGAACCTCGGCGCCGTATCGACTTTGTTATCGATGGTAAAATCGGGGGATTGGGCGAGTCGGGTGTTGTTAGTATTGTGTAATTTAGCTGCATGCTCGGAAGGTAAATCAGCGATGCTTGACGCCAATGCGGTGGCGATATTGGTGGGAATGTTGAGGGAAAGCGAGTTGGTACCAGAGGCGACTCGGGAGAACTGTGTTGCCGCGTTGTTTGCGCTGAGTCATGGTAGCTTGAGGTTCAAAGGACTTGCAAAAGAAGCGAGAGCCGTGGAGGTTTTAAGGGAAGTGGAAGAGAGAGGGAGCGAAAGGGCCAAAGAGAAAGCGAAGAGGATTGTGCAGATAATGAGAGAAAGAGAGGGGGCAGATGAGGAGATTGATTTTGAAGGAGCTTTGGACTCTGGTGGACTCTGTCGGACTCTGCACCGAGTTGGCAGGGACATTTTTGGTGCAAATTCTACTAATTTCTAGTTTTTTTTTAATTATTATTATTATTATTTAGGACGTGAAAGTTTGCAGGTAAATTTCAGGTGGGATTTTAGGTGTTCATATTTTGATTGGAATTTTGTATTTAAAAAATTGTTGATGGAACATGTTAAAGGCAAGTCGGGGCTAGTTTAGTATTACTTTACTATTGTTGTTGGGGTTGTAAAAAATTTATATTAAAAAATGTGCATTTAAAATGTTTTGTAAAAAATTTTAAGAGTTTGATATTATTATGGAAAATGTTGTTAGTAATTAAAATATTTAAAAAGTATATAAAAAATAAAATATTAAAAATATAAGATAATAAAGTGATTTTTTTATCCTACACATTTTTTTCATGGCAAAAGAATTTCTTGAGAAGTTTTTTGTTCGCGCTAAAAAATCAAGCTTTTAAATTAAAAAAAAAAAAAAATTTGATCGTTTAGGATTGCATTTCTATCCAAAGTAATTTTTGAATCCAAAATTACTTTTAATAGCAATGTTAAACGAAGCCTAAGCTTAAATCTAAAGATTAACGAAGCTTAAGAATTCATTAATCTCCTAGATGGCTATACTGAATAGACTACCAACTAAAGATAGGCTGAGAACTTGGGAATGGACACAAATGATAAGTGCTAGTTGTGCAAGGCTGAAGCAGAAACAAGAGATCATGTGTTCTTTGGCTGCGCATACTTAAAGAAAGTTTGGCAGAGGTTACTTCAGTTGTGCAGAATTAGCAGAGATATGTATATAACTGGGTTTCAGAATAAATTGGGTAACAAATAGATTGAAAGGGAAAGCATTAATATCTATCATATTGAGACTAGCATGGAATACTTGTATATACCGCATATAGAGGGAAAGGAACTCCAAAATATTCAAGCAAAAAGAGGAGACAACACAGTTTCAGAATCGAATTAAAGATGCTGTTCGAATGTGGTTACAAGGGCTGAGCCATATTACTGTAAATACAGTCAATAAAGATTTAATTGATGCTTGGAACCTTAATGTTGTTATGCTAGAATAGGCTGATAGTTAATTATACAAACAGATAGTTACTTTGTAACAGAGTTTTGTTTGTTTGGATAAATAAAATACAACTTATCTGAAAAAATCTAAAGAAAAACCAATTTTATGTGGGAGTTTGAAATTTTTTATGGTTGGCTTGTTTGGTTTTTTTTTTTTTTTTCCTCATCAATACTTCAAACAATGAATATTTCTTGCGAACATGGTTCCAACTGCCAATATGCAAAGTGCGTTAACTGAATTGGCTTATGAGTATTTAGGTTTTGTTAGGGCTTTTTTTTTTTTTTGTTGGGTTGGAAATTGAAACTTGTGAGTGGGTCCATTCATCTTTTTGATAATTAATTTTGGCTTTTTTCATGGCAATAATTTGTTAACACTAGATAAGTGCCGGTGCTACATTTTGAGAGTACAATCAAGAGATAATTTGTATATATAATTGTTTTATAATAAAGTAGAAGAGTGAACTTGATTCACTGACACCTGAAACTATTAATTCTTATAATATTTAACCATCTAAACCCTAAAATGATCGACATAACCACATCATACTCAAAACAAAATCAAAGGCCAAAATATCAACTCACTATCTAAAAGAGAAGATATTAAAAAAACTCAAACCATAAGAAACTGAATAGACAACATAGTAGCTTAATAAAATTGTAACAAAATAAATTAAAATAAAAAATCATTAATCATAATAAGGAATCAACAAAAGAAAATCAAAAGCAAGGACCACGAAAACAGAAAAAAAAAACCTAGACTGACGGTCGCCACCGGAAGTGAACCAAAAATAAAAAGAAGCAAACCTGACATAACATACAAAAAAGGTTAAAAAACAAAGAAAGAAACAAGATGAAAGTAAAATAAATCCAAATAAAAACTCTTTTTCTTGAACTTCATCAAAATCAAAGAGCGACTAAAAACAAAATCAAACTTGTGAAGTGAAGTGATATTTTACTCTAAATTTAATTATTTTACTCCAAATGAAGTAAAAGTCACAATTGAAAGCTAAACATCACAAACAAAGCAAGGAAAAATAAGCAATTAAGTGAGAGAATGGAAAAATTAGTATGAAATGTAGCGGTAAACACCATATATAGCAATCCATTAGTTGAAACATGAGAAATGTTAGAAGCATAGTGTCCAAAAAATTTATTCAGACAATTCATCAAACATTATATTTATAAAAGGTAAATTACACAAATAGTCACTTAATTATAAGGATCATTTTAAAATGATCACAAAAGTATTAATTTTTATAGACATTTAATTTTGTCCGAGTAGAATCTGATCATTTGTGAAGTTTTTTAAATCTAACCCGCTCAAATCTAACATTTCTTGAATTTTGATAAGTTTTTAAAATTAAAATTTGGATCAATTTGATCCAAACACGCCAAAATCAAAATTGATCAAATAAAGTCAAACATATTTTAAATTGATCAAAATGGATGAAATATTGGTTAATTTTTAAAATTCACAACTAATTAGATTCAATATGGCTTGGAATTGAGATTTATGATTTTAAAGCATTGAAAAACTTGATTACACTTTGAGAAGGATAAAATTACTAAAATACCATTCAAAGGTATTATTGTAATTTGACCTTCTTTTAAGTTAAATTTTTATGAAAACTTTCAAATCATATTAAAATATTATTTCATGATTTTTTGTGCATAAAAAACCCTGATTGCACTTTAGGATGTGTCAAATTACCAAAATACCTTTAAGGGTATTTTCATAATTTGACCTTTTCAAGGTTAATTTTTTGTGAAACACTTCAGATCATGGTTTTATATTATTTCATGATTTTTTATGCATTGCAAACTTTAGTCGCATCTCTAAATGTGTGAAATTACTAAAAGACCTTTAGGAATATTTTTGTAATTTGATCTTTCAAGGTCAGTTTTTCATGAAATGTTCCAAATCATGTTTTTAAATTATTTGATTATTTTTGGTGCATTAAAGTGAGCTATGAAATTACCAAATAACCTCTTAGGGATAATTTTGTAATTTGACATTCTTATTGCGAGATTTTCACGAAAACTTTCTAATTATGATTTCATAATATTTCAAGATTTTTAGTGCTTTAAAATCACAAAAATGAAAATAGGGAACATTGTTTTATAAGGAAATGGCCTAAAAACTAAAAACTTTCTAGTGGAGGTAGATTGGTCTTTTCACATGGTTTTAGCAGTATTAAAAATCCAACCTTTGGTCATGAACATTTTGAATTGTGGGATGATCTTGAGGGGTTAGATCCAATGGTGAAAGGTGGCTCGTTGCAAAACAAAACAAAGGAGAAAATATGAAGATTTAATCCAAGGGCTTGCATGGCTTGGTATGAGATATTTATTCTTCATTAAAGGGCTGGGAGAAGATGAGGCAGCTAGGATTGGTGTGAAAATAGTGGTAAAAACAAAAGAAAAAATAGAGGAAAATTTAAAGAAGCTTGGAGAAAGTATAATTTCTATTACTTGTTTGCATTTTCATTGCATTCCATAACATTTTATCATACTTTTTCATATCATATAGTCTTTAATTTTTCTATTTTTTTCTTAAGAAATTTATAGTTTTCATCTCTTTTAATCTAAGCTTGAATCAAATTGTCATCCAACTAAACAATAGTTTGTATTGAAATTAAAAGAATCAAACAACAACAAAACAAATCCACTATTGTTGGCCTTTGGAGGTTCAACCAACTTTGCTTCTCCCATGGTTGAACCTCATTTGGTCCATTTTTAAGGTTTTCCTTGCTTCTAATTTTGCTTATAAATGATTTAATTGTTGGTTTACTTGTTGTTTGCATGAATTTTGTTTAATTTAGTGGTGTATGTTTAGTGTTTGGATATATATGTTTGTTTTTATGGTTTCCTCATTTGTTAGTTAGTTACATGTTTGATAAAATTTTTCTCATAATAATAATGTCTTTATATGATGATTTTACAAGTTCTTGATGCATCACATGGCTATAAAAGATGTTGTGAAATTGTGGGGCTATCATGAGAAGGTTTGGCCAAGCCATTCCCATGCTTGGCCGAACCCCTAGCATGATTGGTGGTTAAATGTTATTTATGCTATATGTGTTGGCTTATGTTCTTACATTTTCAAGTTTTCAATGTGTTTGATCAAATTTTCCATAAGTAAAATGCTAGTTTATTAGACTTATTGGTTGTTTTATGATTATTTGCATGAATTTCAAAAGAAAAAAAATGGTCAAATATGTCTTTAAATTTTAAAAATTAATGTTCGATCTATTTCATCATATTTTTGCACATACATTTTGTTTATAATATAGTTTCAAGAATGCCGAGATTTGTAATAAGTTTGTCTCATAGTCATACATTTTCATACATCAATGTTTACACTTTTATTAATGATATTTTCATTATTTATTTTTGTCACATACATTTTCCATTAAATTCCAAAACCACCCTCCAAACCATAACCAAACCTTAAACCCCTCCAAACCATAAACCAAACCCTAAAACAAACCCTAAACCTTGAACTAAAACCTTAAATCTCAAACCCTAAACTAACCCAAACCTTAAACATTAAACTAACCTAAACCCTAAATCAAACCCTAACCCTAACCAAGACCCTAAACTTACCCTAGACCCTAAAAACCTAAATCAACCCTCAAACCCTAAAATCAACCCTTGGTCCCATTTATGCATTTGCATTTGCATTTGCATTTTTAAGTTACCGTGCATTCATACTTTGTCACTTATACTCAATTGTCATGCATCCATATTATTATTATATTCATACATACCATACATATATTTTAAAAAATAAGTTTGCAAAGAGAAATGTTTTTAAATAAGATGACATTTCAAGTACAAATAACCTTTGAGATTTAGCCTAAATATATGAAAACTTTTGATGGTTATCATTTATACGAGTTGTTATCTCGATTTTGTAGGACAATTTGAAAACCTTATATTAGAGATGCTTTTGAAACTCTACCTAAATATAAGAGAGTGAAAGTGATGTCTTGATACTTAAAATGTTTTCATCTTAATCCAAAAATAAAATGCTTTGTTTTTTAAAAAAAATTATTTGCTTTCAAAAAAAAAGAAAAAAAAATTAAGTCTTAAAAAAGAAAGGAATTAATTTCTAAACATTAGAATAAGACTATTTTCATCAAAATTTAAAGATAATATGCAAGCAATTAGCA